AGGCCGATCACCCTCACCACATCCCTCCGCCGCCTGCTCATGCGCCTCAGGAGGGGGATGATCAGCAAGTGGGAGGTGGAGAAGGCAGGACATTGGGATGCAGCAGTCAAAGGGTCCAGCTGCCTGCGAGCAGGGATCCTATCAGAGCTTTTTGCCGAGATCGGGACAGAGCTCCAGATCAAGATCGCCGAAGGGCTGCTGGACATAGAGAAGTTCTATGGCACCATCCACACCCCCACCCTCGCCAGGAACGCAAAGGAAATGGGGTACCCCGTGATCTGCCTCAGCCTCGGGATGATGGCCCACCTGGCAGTTCGTTTCCTCATTGCAGAAATGGGGGTCAGCGATCCAATCGTTCCTCAGCGTAGTATCCCAGCGGGGTGTGGACAGAGTGTCGCCTGGACGAGGGTCCTGCTGCGCGACCTCCTGCACCAGGCACCTCACCGCTTCCCGCGTTTTTATATCCGTACATGGGTCGATGATCTACGCACGCGCATGGTGGGCTCCAGCAGGTCCCTCATCGAGGATTTCCCCGAGGCCATGAAGTTCCTCAAAGCTGGGCTGGCAGATCTTGGGCGCAGGCTCCCCCCATAATCCACCCTCCTCGGGAACGACGGCGGAATCAGACATCAGCTTCTCCAGCGCTGTCAGGAAAAAAGGAGTTCCCCTACAAACCAAGTTGGGCACCAGGGACCTCGGCTTGGACGCGACCGCGGAAAAAGAAGGCTCCTCGAGGTTCGGGGAGCTCGGCATCGTTTGGGGCTCAAGAGGCACCAGAATATCAAGAGACTCCTCAGGGTCGCCAAGAACGTTCGTCGACTCTACCGCGCAGGCGCCCAACCACAGCTTCATTGGGGCCTCGAAGGTCATGGCGTTGCCCCTGCCGAGCTCACCCGTCGCAGGAGGGCGGCGGGGGGCAGCGCCAGGCGTCAGAAAGACAGGGGGCTGCCTCGCAGCAGGGCTCCACCAAGCCAAGCTGCCGCCCGACGCCATCGACCCCGCTATCTTTTTTTCGGCTCCGCTTGTTCGAGACATGGTTCGAGCTGGTGGCGGCGGAGCCCCACCTCAGGAGCGGCATCGCAGCAGCCTGGCCGAAAGTCGTTGAGAAGCTCCAGCGACCCAGGCGGTGGAATAATGTAGTCGGCCACCTCAGTGCAGTCATCGGGGCCTTCCTGGACCTCGGGTGGAGCCCAGACACAGCGCGGTCCTGGACAGGACCCGCAGGTGAAGCTTTCCCAGCCGGCCCAGAGAAGTACGAGGAGCAGGATTACTTTCTTTGCAGGCTTCAGCTTTTCCTTCATCACAAGGCATGGGGAGGAGCTCAGGGAGGACATGCAGCAGGAGGATGCCAGGGAGGAGTAGACATCAAGAGCTCGCGCTGGCAGGTCGAACGCCCCTACCGAGATGGCCAAGCCAACCTCGCGAAGGCACTCAAGGCAGTCGGCCGTGTTGGCGCCTGGAGCCCAAGGCAACGCTACGAGGCAGGCCTCACAGAGGAGGCCACCTGCCCACTGTGTGGCGACCACCATTGCGACGATTGGCACAAGTTCTGGGGGCGCCCCCTCCTCGAGCAAGTCGACCACCCCCTCATCGCAGCCACGCAAGACCTCCGAGACCTCGCCCAGGGGGGCAATCAACCCGAATGCCTTTGGCTCCGTGGATTGATCTCAACGGAGTTAGCCCTGAGAGCAGTAGAAGAGCTGACGCCTAGGCACCCCGTCCTGCATGGGACAGGCGCTTTCCTGGACCCTCCAGAGGCGAGGGGCGGCTGGCACCTCGGCTCCGCGGATGGCTCAGGGGGTGCTTTCTCGGCCGATCCCCGCCTCAGGCGAGCAGGATGGGGTGCAGGAGTTTGGAGTCCAGATTTAATTCCCCTTGGCGCTCTCCGAGGGACTGTCGTAGGGGCTCAGACTATAACTAGAGCCGAGCTCAAAGGGGCCATAGAGCTCCTCCGTCACACCAAAGGGGACCTCTTAGTGTTTACAGACTCAGCGTACCTAATCAAGGGCCACTACAAAGGGCCCAGTAGGAGGCAGGCCACCAATAGGCGGCTCTGGTTTGAATATTGGCGCGTCTTGGGGAACCGTGAGGGGCGTCTGAGCTACCTGAAGGTCAAGAGTCATGCGACCGACCCCGAGGTGCGCGCCCGTTTTTCCCGGATGGGCCCTGTATGTCAATGACCAGGCAGATCGGCTCGCAAGCGAAGCCGCTGCCCAAGCTGCTGTGCCCGCTGACCTAGCGCAGAGAGTGTTGGCCCTCGACACCCTCAGCGGACAGACCAGAGGACGACTGGCAGCGGTCCGAATGTTGTGGTGGACCCATTTCCAGTTGCAGAAGAGAGCGCCGAATGCAAGAGAGCTCGCAGACGCGAGCGAAGCGAACGTGCCCTGCAGCATCTGCTCTCGCACACACCCCACTGGCCCCACGTCAGCGAGACGCAAGTTTCTTGCTCGAGATGCGGGAAGCAGACCCACAGGAGGTCATGCGCCAGGTGGCTCCGCACCCGATGTCCTGGCCCAACTAGTGGCACGGCCCCAGGGAGTGGAGGCCCCAGTGGGGCAGTAGTGCCAAGTTTTGAATTGACGCAAGGCGACGGACCCGCCCTCCATCCCAGCCACCGACCCCATCTCGCCATCTGTCGCGGGGTTCTCTGGTGTCGGCGGTGCGGGTGTTGGCGGGTTCGGGCCTCCAAGAAGTTTCGTGCCCCCTGTGCCCCACCCAGCAACAGCCAGAGTGGGGGTCACAAGGCCCTTTTGAAGCTCACCAAGGGGAAACTGCCACCAGGGTTAAAGGCCTGGCCAGGAGCAGACCCGTGAGCACGCATAGTCCTCCTGGAGTGCAGGGACCGGACTGGCCGAGGCGGCGTGCGCGGAGGAGGAGGAGGAAGAGGAGGAGGAGGAGGAGGAGGAGGATGAGGAGGAGGAGGAGGAGGAGGAGGAGGAGGAGGAGGAGAGGGAGGAGAGGGAGGAGAGGGAGGAGAGGAGGAGGAGGAGGAGGAGGAGGAGGAGGAGGAGGAGGACAGGGAGGAAAGGAGGAGAGGAGGAGGAGGAGGAGGAGGAGCTGGAGCAGGAGGAGCAGGAGGAGCAGGAGAGAGGAGGAGCAGGAGGAGGGAGGAGGAGGAGAGGGAAAAGGAGGAGGAGGAGGATGAGGAGGAGAGGAGGAGGAGGAGGAGGAGGAGCAGCAGGGGGAGGAGGAAGAGGAGGAGGAGGAGGAGGAGGAGGAGGAGGAGGGGAGGAGGAGGAGAGGAGGAGGGAGGAGGGAGAGCGGGAGGAGAAAGAGGAGGAGGAGAAAGAGGAGGAGGAGGAGAAAAAGGAGGAGGAGGAGGAGGAGGAGGAGGAGGAGGACCAGGAGGACGAGGACGAGGAGGACGATAAAGGACTAGAAGGAGGAGGAGGAGGAGAAGGAGGAGGGGACGAGGAGGAGGAGGAGGCGGAGGAGGAGGAGGAGGAGGAGGAGGGAGGAGGAGGAGGAGGAGGAGGAGGAGGAGGAGGAGGAGGAGGAGGAGGAAGAGCACGACTTATACGAGGGTGGATCTGCTGGTTCTTGTGCCGCCCGTGCGCGGATGACGCAGCGGTGCTCCCACACGGCGGGATCGGCGCCGCCCCCGCATTGGCATCCATCTTCGGATGATTCGCCTGGGTCTTTGGCCTCTGCCTGAGCTGCGCCAAAAGACGCTGGTAGGCCCCCTCTCGGAGCTCCGGTCCGTCAGAGCTGCGACCCACCACCAGCTCGGGATTGCCTCGCGCGCGAAGTATTTCGACCGGGGCTAGGACCGGGATTACTCGTTCCAGAGCGTGCTGGGACGCTCTCAGAGCGTTCCAGGGCGCTCCGGAACGGCCGCGCCACGGCTCCCGATACATCCTCCAGAGCCGCCCGATCTCAGAGATCCCCGATTCGTTCCAGTCAGATGTGTGCCCCGTCTCGGTTTTGTCCTACGTGAGGTCGAGCCCTACTCAGCATCGCACCGTGGATGTGCGGCCCTCGCCTGCGCCCGCGCCGACAGCGACCTCGCAGGCCGATGGCAACCAAACCCAAGTGGCCCCATCTGGCCACTCAAATAACAATGCAAAATCAATGTGGGCGTTTTCTTTTTCGGCGCCTGCCCTCAAGAGGCACCCGAGAGCGCTCGTCGTCGTCGTCGTCGTCGATGTCGTCGTCGTCGTCGTCGTCGTCGTCGTCGTCGTCGTCGTCGTCGTCGTCGTCGTCGTCGTCGGCACATCCCGAAGTTCTTCACGATCCGAGGGCGCCCCGGCCATCTCGCGGCCTTCCCCCCCTCTGCCCCCTTGTCCTCCCCTGCCCGGCCGCCTGCCAGACCCTGCTCGGCGCTGCTTAGAAACACGCCAGCCACGAGCAGAGGGGGGGCAGGGGGGAGGGGGGGAGGCTTCTTAGAAGCACCCCTGCTCCTTAGAGGGCGCGGGCTTCGTCTATAGACCGAAAGGCCTGCGCCTTCTGAGAGGCAGCCTCCCTCTACAAACCCCCTGCCCCATACCCCCTCTGGTGCGCCCGCCGCCAGTCTACGCATGCGCGAGCTCTTTCTTGCCTTGTGCTCTGTTTTCGTCGGTGCTCCCATCACCATCCTTTCCTTCTCCCCCTCCTCTCGGCGGCGAGCCCGGGAGCCTTCCGAGAAGTTGTCTAGGCCCAGAAACACCTCTCAAAAAGCGCGAGAGTTTCTCAGAAGTCCCGCCGCCTTCTGAGAAGACCTTCTCCTTCTCATTTCCACCCCTCGCTCGCCGCCGATCCTCGTCCTTGCTTTTCGGCGCCTTCCTCTCACACCTGGTGCCTTTTGTTTCCCCGACTGGCTTGAGGGTCACCTGGAAGAGGGGAGGTGGCAACAACATCGAACATGAGGATGAGGACCAGGGGGCGGACGATGCTATGGAGGATAAGGAGGGGTAAGGAGGAGCGGGAGGGAGCAAGAGCAGAAGTGGAGGACGAGGACAACATTTGTCTCTCCATCCCCTTGCCACGACGCTTGCGAGGGTGCAGAGCCTGGGTGGCAGGTAGTGGTAAAGCCACGAAGAGTTCAAGGACGGTTTGTGCTGTGGCCGGGTCATCTATACAATTTACCATTCGCGAGTCTTCTCTCTTTCTCTCTCTCGTCTCCGTTTTCCCTGTCGACCCCCTTTGCTCTCTGGGAGCCCCTTAAGACGGCATCACAGTTGATCTGACCGCAGCTCAACGCCGAAAAGGATGGGACGTCTGGAGTGGGGATGAGTCCTCGTTTACGTCGAGCTTGCAGTGACTGTGCCTCGACATTCTGGGTTACATGTGGTTCGCTTCGTCTGTGCTACCGCCCAACTATCACGACAATTGTGTCTTCCATTGTGACGACGACGATGGCGACGACGACATATCATACTACGAGTGTGAGTGCGATTTTACTGGGATTACTACCAGTACTGTCTCTGCCACGTTCCTTTAAGTTGTGACTTGTCTTGCTGGTGCCACGCCTGATATCAGCACAGCTGCGCTTCTTCGGCTTCAGTGTCAATACGATTAGTGTTTGCGCGAGTGTCAACCTCACTAAGTAAGTTCCTGCACTCTCGAAGGGCGCTCTATTTACCTGGTTCAACCTATGAGATGCCACATACGGACACGTTGTGCAATCTGTGTGTTGCAGCCACTGTGCGCATCCAGAAGCACGAGCCAGCGCGTGAGGCGCGCACGAGACGGAGTCGAGCGGGCACCCGGCGCACACCCCGACATCCCAGCCAGAGCATGGGGTGGACACGCGGCGGGCGGGCCCCGGCGGGCACCGGGCGAGAACTAGGTAGTGCCGGCCAGTCCCACGGGAGACCCTTGGGGCCCTCGTGTGGGCATTTGGGCCATCGTGGGCAGCCGTTGGCCATCGTGGGGGCTTCTTGGGCTGCCTTGAGCCGGCGGACGCCAGACAGGGGTGAGACGTCGAACATCACTCAGAAACCCCATGGGGAATCACTGATTTTGGCTTCTTCGGACCCTGCTGGAAGCGTATTGGGCAGTCTTGAGGGCTCGCTCGGCCGCCTTGGGGCCATCGCGCCCTGTTTGCGAAGCATGCTGGGCCATATTGGTGTGCTGGGCGGCCTGCGTGGGCCGTCTTGGAAGCTCGGTGCGCGAGACCCATCGTGTTTATCGAGGGTTGGGGGCATCGGGAACGCCGACCCATTCCTGTTCTTCACTGGGGAGCATGGCCTCGGGAGGGGGAGTGATGGGGTGCACGCGACGCTCCGCTGCAAGAGGGGGCGTCCCCTTTTAGACAGTGCAGGAGGCCTGCCAGACAGCAATTGGCATTCGAACGCTCCCACATCGGATGTGGCAAAGCGGGTTAAGTTGGAGGAGGAGGAGGTGGATGAGATTGATGACGAAGGCCCACAGGGCACGTGTAGGGAGGAGGAGACAAGGATAATGATGAGGAGCGCGTCGCTGTATCTTTCAGCTGTTGACTTGCTGTGAGCAGATGGTGCGCCGTGGGATTGCATGATCGTCCACATATTATGTCCCAGGACGCGTTGTTCAGCGTTGACGGGGTACGGCATGTCAGCAGGCGATGTGTAGATCCTGGAGGGCATGCAAGGCAGGGTGCGAATCCACTGAACATGTACTTATTTAATCGCTTCGCTCATTCCGCCGGCCCATACAGTCTCATGTCTGCCGTTTGCCCGAGGGCCTGGTGTCAATGCGGCGCTTTGGGGGTTCCTGGGGCGCTCGGGGGGGCATTTGGGGGGCCTCCTGGGGCCGCTTGGGGGACTCTTGGGGGCCTCCTGAGGGCCTCGTCGGGGCCTCTTGGGGCCTCTCAGGGGCCTCTTGGGGCCTCGGAGGGGCTTCTTGGGGCCGAGGGCTGGAAATGTTGTTTCGTGTTCCCTCTCTTGGGGCGTTCTTGGGGCCCTCTTGGGCCGTCTTGGAGGCTTCTTGGGCCGTCTTCGAGCCCTCTTGGGCCATCTTGGGGCCCTCTTGGGGGCCTCTTGGGCCCTCTTGGGGCGATCTTGGGGGCCTCTTGGGCCGTCTTGGGGCGTCGGGAAGCCGAAAAGGTGGAAGCTCCAAAATCTCTCAAAAACCTAAGGAAAATCAATGAATTTTGCCTCCGGAGGCCCTCTTGGGAGTGCTCTTGGAGGCCTCTTGGGGCGTCTGGGGGCCATCTTGGGCGTCTTGGAGCGATCTTGTGGCATGTCGGACCCCTCGTGTACCATCTTGGGGGCCTCTTGGGGGCCTCTTGGTTTTGTTTGGGTCCTCGGGGACGTTTTCGGAGCCCTGTTGGTGCGCTCATGGGGCGCTCGGGGGGACCCGGCCGGGACCTGGTCGGGGTACTTTTCGTCCGGGGACCCCCAGGGGCCGCCCCGCGCGCGCGAACTAGAGAATTGTTAACCAGTTACCGGAGATCTTAGCACGCCTCTGGCCCGTTGGGCCGGCGAATTTTGCTCCAGACTTCCTCAATTGGCTGGTAGGTGCTCATGCTTACGGGCACTTGCCGCCTTCACCGTTCACTGAAGCAGAGAAATTTTGACCTGCGAGTTTGAATCTTACCTCTCCTCGCACCTCTCTGAAGCATCCTCTCTGTGAGGAGGAGGAAGTTGAGGAGGAGGAGGAGGAGTCGCATCATCAATTTGTCATGTCCTGCCCCCGCAGGAGTGCCGACGTGATGAAGTGAGCGTTGCCTGCCAAATGTAGGTAGCTACACCGCATACATTTGTGCAACGGGGTGCTCACGCGCCACGGCACGGTTACAGCCTGTGGCAGTGGCTGCGTGACCACAGTATGCAGTCGACGGCGGTGGCAGTTGGAGCATTCCCAGTGGAGGCCCATGCCAAGAAACACCCTGCTTGCCTCCAGGGTGCCCTGGGATTCTTCGGTTTCTGATGGTTTTGCCATGGAAGGCGTGACGTTTCTACGCAAAAAATCGTTGGACGTCCTGGTGTCTCAGGGTTGGGTTTCTTGTGGAAGGTTTCTTGTGGCCGGGCCTCTACTGTAGATGTCAGCGTCGACGCCGTTGATGTTGGGAACGAGGTCGTGGGGGGGCGGTCACGATTAGATCAGCCTGTGAGATGTTTTTTCCCGCTCGCTGACACGCTGACACTAGTAGACGAAAGTTTTGTCACAGTGCCTCGGACGCATGCGGGCAACCTTTGTTTAACAGCTGCGTCATCAATGCGCAGCTGTTGGCACTCTCATCTCTGCACAGGTTATTAGAGGAGACCCTTGGTGCTCCTCGTCAGCCTTGCTTCCTCATATTAAGGTGTTGTCCGTCTTCTCGTTTCTAGCAGTTGACAAATGGTGATGAGAGGTCCTCGTGTTGCAAGCCACCATGGCGCGGGATCTTGGGCGCTCTTGTATCGATCGTGGTAACCGTCTGCCGCTCGTTATTGTTGCCCAAACAGTGCTTGCATGTAGGGGTTCTTACTTGTTTTCGAAGGAACTTGGCCTTGGTGCCGGTCTGGCGGCTATGTTGCAACCGTCGCCGCCCCGTCGACGCCTCGTCGCCGCCCGTCGTTTGGGCCTACGTACGTTGCGATCTGGCGATCAGTCTGGCGGCTATGTTGCCACTGTCGCCGCCTCGGCGCAGCCTCGTCGCCGCCACATCGGTTACACCACATATATTGCATGATCTAGATTGCACCACTTGTGTGTAACACATAAAGTGCACCACGTATATTGCAAACCATAGATTGGACAACATATATTGCAACATTGCACCACATAGAGTGCGCAACATAGATTGCACAACATCGGTCGCGCAACTAATGTGGCACAGCATACATAGCACTACATAGATTAACCCCACACATTGCACCACCTGTGTTGCTCCACATCCATTGCACAACCCATATTTGAAAACACACACTGTTTGGCGTCAACGCTGGTTACCATATTATTCCTTGTGCCTGGAAATGGGTGGCGCATAACTTGCTACACTGTCAGCACCCGCATTTGCTTGGAATGATAATGCATGGGTCTTGATGTAGTTGTGTTCCTCGCTCCTCCCTTCTGGGATACAGAGTGCCACTTGTCGTGCCTCTGCTTCGCGTGATGGCATTGCTGTCGTTGTGCCGAGGCTGCCGCTGCTGCTTCCCCTGTTCTCTCCGCATCCCCCCCCCAGTCTGTTCTTTTTCGTCATCGTGCGCCCCACATCCAGCTCTATTTTTGTTCCTCCATTTCTCCTCCTCCTCCTCCTCCTCCTCCCTGCTCTGCCCTCGCGCTCCATCCTCATTCCCCCCCCCGCTCTCCAGGGGTCGTCGCCCTCCCTGATCGCCTCCGTCCCGTGCCTGGCAGACAGCGCGGGGGTGCATTGAGCGAGGAGGACGTGCCCATGAAAGGGGGGTGCAGGAGGAGGAGGAGGAGGACCAGTGTAACCCCAAGAGTCATCAACGATGTTGGCATACACCCTCCCTCCAAGCTCCCTCTGCATAGGCCCCTGCAAAGGCTCATTTCCACAAAGGGAGCTGTCTTGCTGGAAGCCAGCCATTTCAAGACCCTGAAGCATGCCAACACATTGTTCTAGGGATTCCACCGTCACGGAACAACCTGATTATTGCGTTTTGACGATTTGGAATCGTGCCAGAGCGCCATTCTTGGGAGTTCAACGCCGCGAATCAACGCAGCTGTTACACCCTCAGAATCCCGAACCCTTCCAAAACACCATTTCTGGTACGCTGATCATGGGAATATGTGAAACAGCTGCATTTGTTTAATGTGCGCGGCGCCACGGCGAGAGCCACCTTTCGAAAAGGAGCTGCCCTCGATCCGTGAAACTCGTAGACATCTTTAAAGCGAGTGTGCGCGGCTCTCAGACGAGAGCCACATCTTGAAAACGGGTCGCCCTCCATCCGCGAAGCTCTTGCACAATTCAAAACGAATGTGCGCGTCGCGAAGTCGAGAGCCACATCTTGAAAACGACCCGCCCTCAATCCGTGAAGCTCTTGCAAATGTTTAAAACGAATGTGCGCGGCGCTAAGGCGAGGCCCACATTAAAAAAACGACCCGTTGTTACGTTTAAAGCTTCAGGGCCAGAAGTGATGGGAGGTCTCGGGCGAAACGCTCAGCCCGCCCTAAAAACAGGCCTCGGGGTGCGACTGGGAGAAGCTATCTAGAAGGAAAAGAAATGGAGCATGAGGAGAGGGAGGAGGAGGAAGAAGAGAAAGAGGAGGAGGAGGAGGAGGAGGAGGAGGAGGAGGAGGAGGAGGAGGAGAGGAGATCTTCCCACGTACCGATAATTTGGCTCATTCGCCCCCCTCCTCATCAGCATTCCTCCCTCCTCCCCTTTCACCCCCCCTCCGCCCGTCTCCCTCCTGATCCTCCTCTCTTCTGATTCCCCTTCCTCTCTTTTTCTCGCTCTCTCTCGCTCTCCCTCTCTCTCTCTCTCTCTCTCTCTCTCCCCTCAAGCCTACCTCCCCTCACGCTGCCGCCCGACCTTCGGGCCATAACTCGGCTCTCCGGCGGCCGTGCGGGACGATCCGAGGAAAACCCTGGGACGCTCTCGGCTGGGTGCCGTTGTTCAGGAGGGAAAGAAACACACAGACACAATTCATCGGCGATTTCCCAGAAAATATAGGAAAACATGGGAAGTGGGGGGGGAAGACGAGAACCCAGAAGATCTGGAAAAATATGGGGAATCCTTTTATTTGTGTGTACTTATTTGTGTCCCAGGGCCCCTTCAGTTGTTGGCATCCTGGGGCTGGGACACCTCCGGGATCCGAGGAACGCGCCCGAACACCTCGAGCCTACAGCCTCGAGCCCGTCGTCCGCTCCCGATCCTCCCCCGGTGGACTTTCATTTCGTCCACGTTCGTTCGGTCTTTTTTCGATCTGAGGTCCGCGCAGGTTTCTTGGATCCGCGCTGGACCCCCCTCCCTGGCGCGCAGAGCGCGCCAGGGGTGGCGCCAGAGGCGCCGCGGGGGGGGGCCCCAGCGCCGATCCGAGGAATCCGCGCGGACCTCCGAGTTTGTATGTTTATGTCATTGTCTTGTCCCCTAGATTCGTCCTCTTCTGTTTCGTCTTATTTCATTTCGTCCTCTTCCGAAGCCCAGATGAGTTGAAGCTGGACGCACCGACGTTGTTGACGGGAAATTCGGGCGGAGGAAGCTTCGGACGAGATGAGGCGCAACTCCTCCCCTTGCCCCTCGGACGTAGGCGAGCGATCGCCGTCGCGTCTCACCACAGCGATGTGACAGAAGAGTCTTCGGGATGCGCGGAGAAGATCAGGCTCGAGCGCTTACAGCCAAGACGCTGAAAGGAGGAGCAGTTTGGGCTCAGAAGGGGCTCGGTGTTCCTGAGGTCCTTCCGTGGCTGTTCCTCTGGCTCTCCTCGTGCACCCAGGCGGAGGAGGAGGAGGGGGAGGAGGAGGAGGAGGAGGAGAAGGAGAAGGAGGAGGGGGAGGAGGAGGAGGAGGAGGAGGAGGAGGAGGAGGAGGAGGAGGAGGAGGAGGGGGTGCGTTGGTGGCGCCAGGAAAGGGGGCCTCGTTCCTTGTCGGTCGTTCCCTCTCTCAGCAGCCCGACCGTATCCCCTCCCCCTCGGCGCGCCTGCTTTTCATCCGCCCGCCGCGGGAGAGATAGGGAAGCAAAACGAAGGATTGCAAAAAGGATTGCAAAAAAACCCAGGATTGCAAAACAAAAACAGGGTTTTTTTTTTGCAATCCTGCAATCCTTCGTTTTTTGCAATCCTTGGTTTTTTTTGCAATCCTTCGCATGAACACACAAACTCGGAGGTCTGCGCGGATTCCTCGCATCGGCGCTCGGCCCCCCCCCCCCCCCCCCCGGCGGCGCCTCCGGCGCCGCCCCCGGCGCGCTCTGCGCGCCAGGGAGGGGGTCCAGCGCGGATCCGAGAAATCCGCGCGGACCTCCGAGTTCGTATGTTTATCTCACTTGTCGTTCCCCTGGGATCGAAAAAAGACCGAACGAACGTGGACGAAATGAAAGTCCATTGATGTTCCCCTAACAAAAAGGGGGGGTCCCCCCTTTGCCGCCTGCTCCGGGCGGCCCGTCGCCGAGCACCGCCCGCCGCGGAGGAGGGCCAGCTGGGGCGCCTCGGCGGCCCCTTCCCGGGTCGACGAGGGAGGAGGGGGCAGAGGAGGGGGCGGAGGAGGGGGCGGAGGAGGGGGCGGAGGAGGGGGCGGAGGAGAAGGAGAAGGAGGAGGGGGAGGAGGAGGAGGAGGAGGAGGAGGAGGAGGAGGAGGAGGAGGAGGAGGAGGAGGAGGAGGAGGAGGAGGAGGAGGAGGGAGGAGGGACCGCAAGCAGTGGCGAAGCGCCCTGGTTTGCCTATGGGCCCACCAAGGAAACTTTTACGAGCCTTGGGCGGTCTGCACGAAGTGTTGCTACAGCATTTCTGGCTGAGACTGTCTTGTTTGAACATGTCGGGCTTATGATCTAAGAACCTTGTTGTTAAGCTTAGAACCTTTTGGGGTTCTAAGAACATTTCGTGGGATGCCTACAGGAATGCTGGGACGGTCGGTCCCTGCTCAAAGGGATCGGCGTCACCCCAACATATTTACACTATATGTGTGTCGCCCCCCATAGGGGCAACGCGCGCACCGAGAAATCTTCTAGTATATGCGTCGTGGCGGGCGCTGTCTGGCCACACCGCTCGGGAAATGCTTTACTACAAGATGGGTGTACTAGATGTTCGGGTCGGACGCGCGCCTCCAAGAAGGACATGTAGTATTAGTATGTCCCTGTGCGTCCCAGGGGAGGCGAAGGCGGGGGACCTCCGACGCCTCGAACAAACTCAGTACGCAGTTCTTTGCAGTTTCCAGCCGCCGTGCAGGGACTCTCGCCGGGCACGGGGGCCGTCAAAAGCTGGCTCGGGACGAAGAGCGGGTCCTGGGAGAGTCCTGGGAGGTCCAGTGTCCGAGGCTCCGGCAAACGTGGATCGGGGACCCCCAAACGGGGTGGTGACCACACCGTGTGGTGAGTCGGTGGGGATTCGGGGTCACCGCACGGTTTTGGGACGCGGGTCGTCCTCCGAGGATGTCTCGGGCGACTGGAGCCTCCAGAGTCCTAAAACCGTGCGCCGACCGTCCGTGCGGTGAGGTCTTGGGGGATTTCGAAGTCACCGCACGGTCTGTCACCGCACCGTTTCGGGACTCCAAGACGTGGAGCGGCCGGTTCGGGGCTCTTCTCGGCTCAAGGGGCCCTGGGGCCGTCAACAAGGTCGCTCGGGAAGAGAAGACATTCTAAAGCAGGCCGGGCAAAGGCGAGAGGTAGCGAGCGTTTGTCCGCGGCCGTTTGGACTTAAGCGGCTGGCCGCTAAGATATAACTGTGCATCATCGCGAGGCACACCATTCGCCATTGAGACCGAAAGCAGATTCGTTTGGCATGGCTCGTCGCTCCCGCGACTGACTCCTGCGTTCGGGGCTACCGTTACTACGGTATCACAGAGTTGGATATGGGCTTCGCCTTAGGCGAAGCATCTGGTTGGGGCTCTCAACCCCGTCCAAACTTGGTAGCGGAGCTGGCCTATGGTGGTCAGCTCTCGTTCTACTCCTCGCCATCAACGGCACTATCTGGTGGACTGCTGACATGGTGGAACATCCGGGCGCACTGGCTCTGAGCGGAGGAATGTGCACATATACGCACAATCGCAAGGACACTTGCAGCGCTACTTCTGCTCACGCGGAGGCCCCCTACATGTCGACTGGCGTCGACTAGCGTTCGGGAATCGATGGGATAGCGCCGATCTAGCATCCTTTAGCGTCGATTGGCGTCGGTTTAGCGTCAGTTTAGCGTCGAGAAGCGTCGATCAGCGCCGAGTCGCAAAGAGCCGACATGGTGGTATTGGAGGCGGCGCGACCACACTGTGGGTGCTTCGCGCCCGCGAGCGCTGCCCAGTCGCGAGCCCACGACGAGCGCAGCCCGCAACAGCATCCAGCAGGGTGGCGATGGGCGTGGCCTTCTCGGTGATGACTTTCCTGGTGATGACCTCTCGGTCCCTCGCTCCCGCCCTCGGCTTTCCCTCGCCCCTCTCCTCATCCCCAGGGTTTGATTCAGGTTTCCACGCATGCGCAACATCTACGCGACCCGCGGGTCGATTACGGCCGTCTTCGCGGAGGACGAGGACGAAGAGAAACGCCATAAGCATCAACGTGTTCGCGCACCGCGCGGACTTTTTGGAACCGCGCTGGCCCCCCTCAGCGGCGCCTCTGACGCCGCCCCTGGCACGTTCCGCGCGCCGGGGAGGGGGAGCCAGCGCGGATCCAAGAAACCCGCGCAGAACGCCAAGAGATTATGTTTATACCGTGTTTTTCTTTTTCTAATGCTGGCGATGGTCGTGGCCTTCACGCTGGTCATCTTCCTGCGACGTCCCTGCAGCGGCTTGGCCCTGGTCTCATGGCGCGTTTGTGCAGCTCAGGGTACTAGCTCAATTCGCCCCTGGCGGGTGTGCCAGAGGCCTTAGTGGGCCTGCCTCGAGCCCTTGCGCACACAGGCCACGAACACCTCGGACTTGCATTTGCCCAAACTCAAGAGCAGCCCGCACACCGCACGCACGTCCAGGCCCCCCCCTCGAGCAGCGCCAGTTTTCCTACTGCGCGATGGGCTGGCCCGGTGTAAAAATGTGTGCCGTCGTCCGCGAAAACGATGCTGTTGGCTGGGATCTTCACCCACTCGGGCTTCGACTCCAGCTGGTCGGCCAGGGAACGCGACCCGATGCCAAAGACGAACGCATCAAAGCCCAATTGGCGGAGTCTGCACTCGATTTCATCCTTGGCTTCTCCCACGGCCGCCTCGTGCACCTGGTCCGTCCGTTGCTGCCCCCGGATCGAGGACTTGGTGCCCGGACCCGCGTTGCCCGAGCCCACGCAGACAAACCATGATTCCTCGTTTTCATCGGCTATGAGCGCTCGCAAATCGGGCCTGACCTCCGTGCCACTCAGGCAGTTGAGCCTCCTGTTGGAGCGGCCTTTCGACATGCTTCAGAGTGCCATCCGGTCGGCGAGGTGTTCGTCCTCAGGACCAGCTCGCGGACCAGCGAGCAGGGTGCACTTCTTGGCGTCAAGGGAAACCGCCGCGAAGGAAAGGCCGCTCTCGTCCGCTCTGGCACGCAGGGGACGCAGCTTCAGATCGAAGAGCGAGAAAACGCATAAACATAGACTTTCGAAACTCCGCTCGTTTTTTGTTAGATCGGGGTTGGGAACCCCCCTAGGCGCGCTCCACGTGCCAGGGAGGGGGGTCCAGCGCCGATCCAAGAAATCCGCGCGGACCTCCGAACGTCTATGTTTATGCTTTTTCCCATACCCGCACTAGGCGCGCCGCGCTGCCAGACCTCTCTGGGCCGCCTGTGGCCCACGCCCTGCGGCGTGTGGCGCCGGTGAGGCGCCCGTGATGCGCGCAGCGCCCGGCCCGTCTTGCGCGCCCGTGGAAGTGAGGGGGGCAGGCCTCCTCAGAAAGCGGCGGGGGGGGGGGGTCAGAAGTTCTCGCGCCTTGTAACAGGTGTTTTAATTCTGAGCCTCCGGAGGCATTGGCGGCTTCTCGGATCGGGAGCCTTGAGACGGGGGTCAACGCAAACGGGGGTCAGCCAGAGCGCCAGATCTTGCAGGATCCTGCATAGCCAGGGTCGCATTGACCCGGGTTTGGGTGCAGGATCCTGCAGGATCCTTCGCATTGACCCGGGTTGGGGCGCAGGATCTTGCAGGATTTTGCAAGGCTTGGCTGACCCGGGTCTGGATTGATCCGGGTCAGAAGATCACCGATCGGAGGACCTGAGGGCTTCTAGGAAGCCCTGCCACCTTTGGGGAGGCCTGTCCCCTGTCGCTTCCACCAGGCTTGCCACCGAGTGGTGCCAGCAACAAAGCTACGGCCAGGACGTGTGTGTTTAGCGTGTCTCCTCCCCGCCTCCTGCATGCCAGCCAATTCGCTTCGTAGTGCCCCTGCATCGCTGCCACGCTGGAGCGGATTGCCCCGCCTCGCCGCTGACGGAAAAAAAGAGGAAAAGTGTTAACAGTCGGCCCGGATTAGTAGGTCGACCCTGCCAGCTTAAGGGTACCCTTGTGTCCTGTGCCTCGCGACCCGTGCCTTCTCACTTTCCTATGGCGATGTGGCCCTCGGAAGGGTCCCGTGTCCTCTCTCTCGCGTGTCCTGTCCAATCGAGGCCAACTGTAGCGTGTCGCGCCGCCAGTTCGGGCCCAGCACGGTTCGTCACGACGCGCCAACCACGTCCCAGTCCCCGATGGCCAACGTCCCGAGCCTTTCCGAGCCCCCCGCCGCGCGGAGCGGAGCGGCACGCCAGCAGCTTGCAGGGGTTCCTCCTCCTCCTCCTCCTCCTCCTCTTTCTTCTCCTCCTCCTCCTCGTCCTCCTGCTCCTCCTCCTCCTCCTCCTCCTCCTCCTTCTCCTCCTGCTCCTTCTTTTCCTCCTCCTCCTCCTCCTCCTCCTCCTCCTCCTCCTCCACCTTCTCTCCTCCTCCTCCTCCTCATCCTCCTCCTCTCCCCTCCTCTCCTCCTCCTCCTCCTCCCCCTCCCCTCCCCCTCCCCCTCCCCTCCCCCTCCTCCTCCTCTTCCTCCCCCTCCTCCTCCTCCTCCTCCTCCTCCTCCTCCTCCTCCTCCTCCTCCTCCTCCTCCTCCTCTTCCTCACGCGGAGCGAAGGCTCCTGTCCGCGGCCGCCCTCGAGACTGCAGTCGCTCGACGCCAGAGGCAGAACGCGGGCGCCCGCCGGCGTCCCGGCGGTGCCCCTGCGGGGCAGCAGCTGGGAAGCCCCCGACCCCCCCAGCGGAGTCTTTCGGTCCCCGCGGCGGGCTTCTCGAACTCATTCAAGAACCGCTCTGAGCATGCCAGCCTTCACGAAGCTGCGGAGTCATGGTGGTTTTCTCGCCAGAGGCTCTGTCTCCCGCTCCGCAGCCTGTCCCAGGGTTCAGCTTGGGTCCGCCAAGGACGATAGCGCTACTGAACTGCCCCTCCAGCGCTTGAGAACAAGAAATCGTACTCGAAGGAAGCCGGGCCTTCTCGGAAGGCCGCGGGGCTTCTCGGAGGCCCTCCCGCCTTCTGAGAAGCCTCATCCGAAGCCGCAGACGGCCTCTCGAAAGTCGGCAAGGCATTTAACAAGCCCCGGCACCTTCCCAGAAGGATGGCCCCGACCTGCCCTTTCCTACCAGGGCGCGCCGCCCATGGTCGGTCTGGGGGATACCTCGAACTCGACGAGCGTCGGAGGGAACTCCAGCACGACCTCGTGTTCGTGTGAGAGCTCCTCGGAGGTGTCGCGTTTCTCGTCGAGCCATGGGATGGGGGCGCCAGGCAGCGAATTCTGCCGAGGGGACGCGCTGGACGCACCCGTCGCCTGCTGCGTGCCCGTCCGTGCCCATGGCGCCGTCACGTGTTCTGACCAGGGGCAGCGGCGGTGTGAGAAGCTTCTGTTTCCGAGTGTTGGAGGCAAGAAGGAGACACGAGGAGGGGGAGGGAGGAGGAGGAGGAGGAGGAGGAGGAGGAGGAGGAGGAGAAGGAGGAGGAGGAGAAGGAGGAGGAGGAGAAGGAGGAGAAGAGGGAGGAGGAGGAGGAGGAGAAAGGAGGAGGAGGAGGAGGGAGGGAGGGAGGAGGACGATGAGGAGAAGGCGATGAGGAGAAGGCGGAGGAGGAAGAGGAGGAGGAGAGGGAGATCAGAGGAGGAGGCGGAGGTACCTATACCGCCACCCTTGGTTTCGCCTTTTTGGGCCTCCTGGGAGTCCCTCGTCGCCACCGCGGAATTCGCCGCGATGTCCCAGTCAGAACGCACCCTGGGAGAGGTCGGTGAGTAGTGGTGTCCGTACCTTTTGGTTTCCCTGGGAGGAGGAGAAGGAGGAGGAGGAGGAGGAGGAGGAGGAGGAGGAGGAGGAGGAGGAGAGAGGAGGATGGAGAAGGACGGAGGAGACGGAGGATCATAAGGACGAGAACAAGCATGGATGAGGGTGGAAAGGGGTGAAGGAGGAGAAGGAGGAGGAGGAAGAGGAGGAAGAGCAGGAGGAGGAGAGAGAGAAGGGGGCCTGCGATGTCTCAACTGGCCCTCCTCCGAGCCTGGGGTCTTCGCTGTCTCACCCATGTTTTGCCTGCGTTCGTTTGGCGCCCGCCGCTAGCACCGACCACTCTGCCCGACCGTGCACTGGCAGTCTGACTTGTGCCTGGAGCCACATGTGACTGATCAAAGTGAGAAGGAGGGAAAGGGGAGGTGGAGGAGGGGGAGGAGGAGACTGACAAAGGATGGGATTGGGAGATGGAGGAGTGAGCACGAGAAGTGGGGTGAGGGAGGAGGATGCGGCCATGGAGTGGGGGGGGAGGATGAGGAGGACGCGGGAAGGAGGGAGAAGGAAATGGGGTCGGACGAGGAGCGGGAAAGGGGGGATGAGGAGGAGGAGGAGGGAGAGGAGGGAGGATGGTTATGAGGATTCGTGTGTGCAGGAGTATGAGGGAGGAGGAGGAGGAGGAGGAGGAGGAGGAGGAGGAGGAGGAGGAGGAGGAGGAGGAGGAGGAGGAGGGTGGGGGGAGGAGGAGGAGGAGGTGACACATGTGGGCGCACCCATACACACACATAGACACACACACACAGACACACACACACACACACACACGCACACACACACATTCAAACACTCAAACACACGCACACACACACGCACACACACACACACACACACACACGCACGCACGCACACGCACACGCACACGCACACGCACACGCACACGCACACGCACACGCACAACCATACATACACACGCACGCGCGCACATATATATATATATATATATATATACGTATATATACACATATATGCAGAGGGGTCATGCGCTGGCATGCATGTACGAATAGGGGAGGAGTTGGTCGTTGGGGATGGGGGAGAGGTATGAGAAGGAGGAGGAGGTGGAGGAGGAGAAGGAGGAGGGGAGGAGAAGGGTGACGATGACGATGCTGATGATGATGACGATGATGATGATGTTGATGATGATGATGATGATGATGGTGATGGTGATGGTGATGATGATGATGAGGATGAGGATGATGATGATGATGATGATGATGCTGATGATGATGATGATGATGATGATGATGATGCTCATGCTAATGATGCTGATGATGCTGATGATGCTGATCATGATGCTGCTGATGATGATGATGATGCTGATGCTGATGCTGATGATGATGATGATGATGATGATGATGATGATGATGATGATGATGATGATGATGATGGTGGTGGTGGTGGTGGTGGTGATGGTGATGGTGATGGTGATGGTGATGAGGAGGAGGCGGAGGAGGAGGAGAAGGGGAGAAGAAGAGGAGGAGGAGGAGGAGGAGGAGGAGGAGGATGGAGGAGGGGGCAGGGAGGAGGGATGGGGCGGGGGGAGGAGGGAAAAGTACGGAGGGAAGAGGCATGGGACAAAACGGAGGGTAGGGAGGAAGGGAGAGGTGTGTGCGGAGCTGCAGGCCGCGAGTAGGGGAGAGTTCCGCTGCCTTCAGAGCGCGGGCGGTTGGCGAAGGAGTACTCAGAAGAGAAGGGGTGTGTGTGTGTGTTGGGAGGAGGAAAAAGAGGGAGAGGGGGGGCCAGGCATTGTTGTTTGTGTTGTTTATTATTTTTGCTTTTCGGGGGGGGAGACACGTCGAGCACCAACGTTGGCGTCAACGTCCAAACGGGTTGAGTCCCTGATGACATCACGCAAGTTGATGTCAAAGTGGTGTCGAGTTGGTCTTATGTTGATCTTGAGTTGGTTCCACATTGGTTTCAACATGATCGTGCGAAGGGGATTACGACGAGGATGTTTGTCTTCTTCCCCCCCCTCCTTCCCGAGAGAACGAGGATGAGGGGGAGGAGGGGGGGTGAGATTGAATGAGAAGGAGCACGACGAGGAGAAGCAGGACGAGGAAACTTAGGAGTAGGGTTGGTCGGAGTGGTCGGCCGGAAGATTGTCAAGAGGGATTTGGTCCAAGTTGGGTAAGTTCGCGTCATATCTGACGTCCTACCCCTCCCTCCCATCCCTTACCATGGCGCAGATGTCCTCCCTATTCGCACAATCGAATATCGCAGCATGGAAAGCATTACAATGCACATCATGGTGTTGAATACTAACGCGTAACATGACATAGCATGGCGTGGCGACGCCCCAAAATGGGGGTTTCTGCTGCGGCCCAACAAATCAACTAACCGGCACCGAATGTGCAATGACTTTCGATGTTTTTTGTCGGGGGGGCATTTTCTAGATTTTGGGGCCTATTTGAAAGGACCGAAAACCATGTCGTGGCACGGCACTGGAGATGATGACGCCAGCGCTGCAGTGGGAGCACGATTCGGAACGATCATAAGCGCAGAAATGAGGCCAGCGCTGCAGCGGGAGCACGATTCGGAACAAGCGGTAGCCCGAAAATGAGGCCAGCGATTCAATGAGAGCAGCATTTTTGAAAACAAAACAAAGCGCGGAAGCGCGGAGCAGAGAACGCGTAGCCCGACATAGCATGGCGTGGCGACGCCCCAAAATGACGGGGGCGG